ATATGCGAAATTTAAACGTATTCAGTAAACACATATAAATCGTACGTGTGTCAAGTAGTGTCAAGTATAATAAACGCATAATATTCTACAAGAATATAGCAACATCCGCCGAATATGATTTATGTGAACTGAACTATATTAGGTTTTTTACACGTAGGCCTTTAGTACACTATAAACGCATTTTATACGGAACTGTGTTGCTTGGGTATAGGGACCAACTCTGTGCGAGAGCCGAAACAGATGCCACCCCAAAACATTACAGCGCCACCACCAAATGGGACCTTTGGAGAAATGTTACAATTTGCAAATCTCTTCCCATCTCTTCGCCAGACTCGCTCACGTCCAAACCCTCGTTTCGTCAGAGAATAAAACGTTTTTCCAATCATCAACTGACCAATGTTGATGGTTTCTGGCAAAACGCAATCCGTGAACTCTGTGCCCCCTGGTAAATAAGTTTTTTTTCCCCGGTCTTCTGTTCTTTAATTCGGCTTCATTTAAACGTTTTCTAACTAGTCGAGATGATATTACAATATTACGAACCGCTGCTAACTAATTTTTTTAGCACATTACTAGTGATTATTCAATTTCTAAGAGCGGACAGTCTCAGAAACGGTCATCCGTTTGATTGGTACATCATTTTCGCCCTTGCCTTGGTCTTCATTTCGTTAAATCGACTTACCATGCGACTTGTGCTGAAATTATTTCTTCCTAACACATTGGCAACATAACGCATCGAGTACCACCTCGTCCAGCAAAGTTGATATGCCTGTACTGCCTCCTCCTCCGATAAATTTCTTTGGCGATTCATTTTTCTACTTTCAAGCACTTGTAGATAAACTTAAAAACACGAACGTCACACAACCAATAACAAAAATTAGCTTAATAACAAATTGCAACCAGCAGTTTCTGAATCAAGTGTAAACCAATTTGTGGGCTAATAGACAGGTACAATTTTAAGACAAAACTGCATGTGCTTGACTGCTTGATATGTCACAGGAGTCCCTAAATCCTACTTGTAAGACAGTTAGTAGATTAAAACTTATCATTATCGCTGAATATTTTTGAAAAGTGTTAGTGGTGAGTTAATTTTGTCCAGGAGTTTATATTCAAGATGGGAAACCCACAAAAATATTATAGATGCACATCAGATGCAGCTACAAATGTTTAACAAAACTGGGAAATATGTTTTTGTTTGATGAAGAATACGTGTCTATGTAGTATTCTGCAAACGTTAGTGCTTTTTTTTTTAAAAACAAATGTGTTGCCTTTATTATATAAGACCTGTACCTAGTGTAGTACAGTGGATCACCAGCAAAAGTGAAAGTGGAGCCCTACACTACTGGCCATACAACAACATAATATCATGTAATAAGTTATGTATATTTGATTGAATTTTTTTAAATCACTATTATTATGCTTGTATTCTAAAATATGTTAATTCAGTAACTATTTAAGGGAATGAAATCCGCTCAAAAAGCTCATTTACCGCAGACATTATAGAACATCATAAAGGTTTCAAATTCAAATTTCTTTTAGAATGTGACGACTGATCCCTATTAAAAACACTATAGGTTTAACACCGTTGAGCGATCGCCAAATAAATGCAAATTTTTAGAGTAGTAGTTTCTAGAGATAAATGCTAATCTCTTTACAAGGGGGTAGGGGTGTCAGGTTAATTTTACTTCAATGGACCGCCAATACTAAGATCAACTAAATTTTTAGCTCCGAAACTTCTTCAGTGTGATTTTCCGTTTGTAACATTTCATTTCAAATGAATTGCAAATTTTAATTCGAGAATCACTTATTGGTGTCATTACGCGATACCCGGATCCGTTAGATAGAAAAACCTGGATTTTCTCCTTAGTTTAATTGAATTTTGATTCATTTTCCAGCGTATAAGTGAGAAGAAGCATTGTATTTTGATTTTGTGTTGTCACGTTTGAGTCCCTATTTTGAATTGTAGTGAAGCATCCTATTTAATTAGTGCTCAGCTCAGCACGTTGCCAAACATGTTTTATAATTTGATTTTTATTGGTTACTAATTTCTACCACAATTTTTTTTACCTTCGGTAGTTTTCGAACCAATATCATACTGCTACCTTTAGTTTGCGTAAAATAAAATAAATTTCAGGTCCATTATTTTTCGTTTCCGTATGTCTAATATCCAAACTTTGAACAAAATCGGCCGAGCCGTTACCTCGGAAAATTACCAGCGTACGTATACGTAATTACCTAGCTCGAGATAAGAAGCTAAAAATTTCAGTCTTCGTTTACAGCGCCTTACGGTTTGTAAAGAGTTGAAAGTATCTTGCGGAAACTGAATTTTAAATAATAATATTCAAAGTAACAATGTTACAATGTATGTATGTTATTCTTGTCGCCAGTTGTGTACCAATTATTAAAATTAACAATTCAGAAAAAGAAATAGACTGCAAATGTAGCAGGTTAGTTTTAAAGCAAAGCTAATAGAAAGATACAAGAAATCGAATACCTACTGTAATAACAACAATAATTCTTTCTAGAATTCTTTAATTACCGAAAATAAAATAATTTTGAGATACAAAGAAACTAAAGCTTAATTCGGCTATAAGAGCTTTCGTTATTTAATAAAAAAAGATGGCATACTTTTGAATTCCTAGATGGTTAAAAACGACTTTTTACCCTTTTTTAATTATGAAAAGTAACCATGATTGAATTAACTAGCCTGCTTGATAAAAATGTAAAAATAAATAATTTTACTAGTATTTTTTGTTCGATCATATCCTATTATTATTATTATTTAAAAAAAATGATAGAATATTTCACATCGGTGAAAAGAGAATAAAAAATCTCTTTAATCATATAAAAATCCAATCAGACCCAAACTTTCACATTTCCTGGACAGAAGCAGTGAAGCACATATAAATGCAAATCTTGCCCACGTAATCTGCATTTTTAGATGGTTTAAAACCACATTACATTTGGGTTTTTTTTTTCAGGGGATGATAACTCCAAAAGTTTTAATTTGCAACCCATATACAGTGTCACTTTATCTTAAAGGTAATTAAAAAACAAATACGATATCTACCAACCCGAAACCAAATGGGACCGTAACATGTTTATTACCTTTAGGTATAGTAAATTTTCAAATTGTCGACCTTCGTCAATTTCGCAATAACCCAAACGCTCATAAATGGAATTTGAATCCTTCGAACCATGTCCCTAATGATATTGGTGAATGGTTTCATTATTTATTGTTTCTGGGATTTGTTGCATACACCCTACTTTTTAGAAACTCCCCAAGAAAATCGAGTGTAGTAAAATAAGGAATGTATTTCTTTTTTTAATTACCTTTAACATAATGTGAAACTCGACAGGAGTTGCAATTTAAAATTTTTTGAGATATCAACCCCTTCAAAAACTCCCCAATCTGTGAATGTCTAAATCGTATCGGAAAATCGAATGGAGGGTTTCAAGCGAGTGAAGAAAAAATCTAAACATTTGGGAATCAGTACAGGGTCCATCCCAAGACCTTTGGGATATCCTTTTCATTTGTATAGAAGCAGAAAAAGTACCCTTATCGCAGAGGGTACTGCGTGTCGTAAAAAGCGTAATCTCAGCGGACTAGAAAGTGGAATGTTCTGAGATAATGGAACATGTTTTGTTGGTATAACAAGGTAGTGGATTAAATGTAGACTTTTCAGGTGCTTGGGGTCGGAAGGACCGAGTTTGAATACAAACAGAATAAGATGGTGTATTTTATGCCTCGAAAAGATACAGATGCAGATACTGTAGTTGCTATAACTAAAACGAGATATATACCAAAATTTTGGACGTCTTAGACAGAGCATAAATGCAATTTTCCGAGGTAACGGCTCGACGGATTCGGTTCAAATTTTGCAGTAGATATATTAGGCATACGGAAACAGAAAATAACGGGCCGGATTTTTGGAGCGCCGCAACGGCATCGAATTTGTTTTTTCAAAAAGCAATCTATAATGTTTATTAAGGTATTCGAAATTATATTTCTGTGATGCAATCGCATTGCGAATTTTGCGGTGCTTTGAGCACTTCTTAAAAGATCGTTAAACAATTTTCGCATGCTTGACGGAAAATGCGTCAAGATCGCAGAGGGAAAATACTATGAGTCATGTGTTAAGAAAAAGATGGACAAAACGATAGAAGGAATCCAAAACAAACCAATTTGTATTGTATTATTGTGCAAATAAAAACTGACGAGACCAACAAAAATTTTCCTGTGAGAATTTGAACAATTTAGTGTTTACCAATAAAACGGCATATACGACTTTTGGTAAAGTTTAAGCATATAGGATTTTTTGGTTAATATTTGCTTTGAGCTAGGAAGCTGTTCTGTCAAGAATTTGGCAACTGGTTTTATCTAAGAGACATAATTATACAAATTAAGTGGTAGACTTTTTACAACCCTTTTATACTACAGGAGCCAGGATAGTATTAAAGGTAGGGCGGTAAATTAAATTGTTTGAGAAATTCTCCTGATTCCACTGTGGGACGATTTGTTCTAATTGAATTATTGATTCCAGGGCTTACTGTTGTGTTATGGTAGGGGTAGATAATAATATTATTAGTGTATTAAATATCAAGGTATGACTTTTACGAAAATGCCTCTTTTTCTTAGATGCTTCAAACATATCAGTTTTACGAACATTAATCCACTGCAACTGCAGTATCTGGTTTTGAATGTGCTCTCAACTAGCAAATATAAGGTCGTGTAAAAATGTGGTTTTAATCTGTACATAAGTGTTCGATAAAATGATGTAGTCTAATTAATTTTAAACGATTTTTTCAACGCCAATGTTACGTCGAGATGGAACAAATCGTAAGGATGTTCCGTCGGCTTCTTAAGATCAATCGAAACTGACATAACTGACAAGTGCAGTGATGAATAAAGTCAGCTGTGTTAAAACCAAACGGGTTGCCCCTTTTTTATGCACTCATCCGAAAGAGTTTTTTTTCTGGGTTAAGTGTCAAAAAAATCCTACCTTCGTTAGCTTTAGTTTCCGCTCGCGGCCTCTTCTGACTAAACTTCAATAAGCTGCTAACCGAAAATTGTGCGGCATTTTCCGATGGGTGAGAAATTCTTTCGTTAATCTCGCCTAAACCGTGTCCGGCGTACCCCAACATTTAAAATTTAAAGAATTCCGCGATTCACCTCACTATACGCGCTGTCACTTTAAATTAGTAATTTTTTTTCTAATTACCTTAAGTGACGTATTGTATTATAATTTGACAGAAATTTAAATTGATATTAATGTTATGTTTATAATACCGCTAATCTAATAAGCGAACACTAAAATACGACTAAATGAAAACTGGCAAAAGCTTTTAATTCTAAAACATATTTTAGTGACGTCTTCTTGTCCCATCCCCACTTAAATGACTTAATTTAAAAGAGGGCGGAATTATATCTATATGTGTAGAAAAATGAGATGAAGTTGTCAAGTGTTCCAACCCTACTCGTTTTACGTTAAAAATTTATTACCTTACTAATTGTGTCTAATTATGTTGAAATATTGAATTAGATGTGCCTTGAGTGTTATGCGGTGATGAAATTTACGGTAGGTCGGGATTGTGTTCAGCAGCTTGAAAATTGTACGTTCCTATAATTGCGAATGACATAAGTAGTTTCTGATGGTCACAATTATTCCAAAGGGAGTATTTTCGGATACGCACTTACTTTACATCCCTATAGGAACAATTGTTGATGCACCCAACGTTCTAATTGCCTTTGGAAATTGCATTTGTAGATACACGTCGATACTACTAAATCTTTATAAATTGTACAATTTTCTCCTTTCCTTTTTCTTTCGCTTTCCAGGATCCTTAACATCCACATAAAAGATGAATAAATTTACCTAGTTTCATTTGCATTCGTTGCCTCGTTTTTCGCACGAAAATGAATGTAAAGTCGTAGAGAATGGATTGGTCACTATTCTTTAATTCCACGATGATTCATAGGTTTGCGCTCTTTTTTTATAAAAACGTTTTAGCGTGCGTTTTAATAATGTACAATCTCTAATGTAAAATGGTGGTAAAGTCAGAAAATGTATGTTATCATTTTGAAGATTATTGAAGTAGTCCATTAAATCTTTATGTCTTGGTAGTACCTAAGCAAAAGTTTAAAGGCTATTTTGTATTTTAAACATATTTGCATATTCTTAATCGTTTTCAAACTTTACTTTGGCCGCCATTTTGTTTTGCTTTATATTTGCGGTCAACAGTCGCTTTTTTATGAATAAATCAGAAATCAGCAATCCTTCCAAGATTTTTGCTAGGATTTATGAATGTCTGGGAGAAAATACGCGCAAACTAACGATACGAAAACTACATTTTCCCAACAGTTTTCCCTCTATCTGGAATTTTGGGTAACATTAAACATTAGATTCGGAATTTCGCAGACTTTTTATGTACCTACCTATCAGTTATGAAAATTAATTTTATATATATAGATATAGATGAAAACAACGCAACGCAACAAAATAGTACTCAATTTTTGGGTCACTTCTCATAGCTCGAGAAAGAGAGACCGCGATTCGAGTTTTAAGAAACATTTGGGCCCCCGAAATCGACTACCCCTCGAAGACACCTTGCAAAATTAATGATTAATTCAGCCCCTAATAGGAAAAAAACAAAATTCCGCCACGCAGGACTAGTGTGCGATTACGAGATCTTTCCGACGGCACCGATGTAAAACCAATCGGACCAAAACGGTAGAAGACGAAAGTTGAAAGTGCACTTGAAAAACTCAACTTTTTAAGGTTTGAAGTTATTCAAGTTGACCATTAGTTTTGAAACCCCTTGTAGAACTGCGATCATACTTTCTGAAATTCAAGTCAACAGAGTCATAGGTACAGGGCTCAAAAGAAGAGCAGCCAAACGTCAAAAATTTTGAAAAATCTTGAATAACTTGAAAACTTCTGATGCTGAGTATAGGGAAATGTGGTATAAAATATATTTGCTATGTAAATAAAATGATGTTGCTAATTTATTTTATTTAGAATTTATTATATTATTTCCAAATTTGTTTAGGAAAAAAATGAACACAAAGTGAAAACTTCAACGATTTCGAGGACGTATGTATCTTTTCAAACATTAATTAACAATAAGGAACAACTCAAAAAAAACTATTAGAGTAGGCCTAATTATTCTATAAAATAGTTATTTGTATAACTAGAGAAGAAAGTGGAGTTTTTCAACTCGAGTTCAAAGTTTGACACATGAGCGTAGCGAGTGTGTCAATTGAACGAGAGGGTTGAATCGACAATATATCATTTTGCGCTCTTAATACACAAATAGCTATTTCCTGACCCTTTTTAGAGACGAAAGGAGTTGTCTCTAAAGTAGTTTCAGAAAAATTACTTTTCACAAGATTAAATCGAGTCAGTTTAATCAGTCGAAGAGCACCGATTAAAGCTTGACGGCGCCGTTAATGCTAATTCTTTTTTCTGCATACGAATTTTAGCTTAATCGGTGTTAACGGTTCCGTTAAATTAACTAATTTAATCAAGACAAATGTAATTTTTTTATCGAAACAAATGAGTTAACAGTTCCGTTAAGCTTTGATTAACTTTTGTGCATTCGGCCCTAAACTATCATATTTAACGCTGAAACTTTAGGATACAAGTCGAAATTTATAGTAATTAATGTCAAAAGTTATTGTTTAAAATCAAAATTTCGTGTTTAAAATTTGAAAAAGGGTGCAGTAAAAGACGCGGGACGAAGGCCACATAAAAATTACGCAAACTGCTTTGAATTTGATACTTCAAATGTCGAATCGCAAATTTCTCTTTTTTTTTGTATATCAACCATGTTGTCATACAAAAAATTGATTGCACTTTTTAAATATCGTGAAAAAACGTAGGATTTCATTTGAAAAACAAAAGTTGCATCGATTTCCTGTTCAACCCGTAAATGTTAGGTACATGTAAAATTATATTTGATAAATTTTTCGTATCTCGCCAGATAAAAACGATATTGAGGTGACCCTCTTATCTCGAACGCACTGAATAGAGATTTTGTCGATAATAAGTGCTGAAAGTTAGAAAAAGCTTCAAGAAGCGCGGGTTTCACTAAAAAATACGCCACGAAAACGTATAGAAAGGTCACAAAAAACTAATGTCGATATTTTAACTTTAAATACAAAAAGCTCTCAACTTGATAGTAAGGTCAAATTTTCGTATTCAAAGCTGAAACTTTTTATTGAAAACCGAACAGTTCTCCTTTAAGGTCGAAATTTCGAGTTTACAGTTAAAAAAGGATTTGATAGCTTTAAATGCGGTATCAAAAAACGCGGTGCAAAGGCGGGTATTAGTTCAAACTTTTAACGCAAAACGAACTTGATACTTTAAATTTATGTTCATAATTGTATATTTAAAATTAAGGCTCGTTTAAAGTCAAAATTTTGTGATTAGTCTCAAAAGTTTTTGTTTGAAACCCTGATCAAAAGTTATAGACTAGAAACCAATTTCGAAAGAAAATTCAAAGGGCTGTAACTTTTGAACTAGTAGCCCAATCTTCAAACTGTTTGAAATTATGGATTTTACAGGCCACATTCTATAAGAAAATGTTTTTTTCCCGTCGGTCTGAGACAATTTTTTTTTCGAGCCTCAAAAAAAGGCAGTGTACAACTCCTTTTTGGCCAAAAATCGACTGCACCAAAATTTCTCGGGAAAACACTTTTTCTTATTAATTTTGGTGCGTAGAATCCAAAACAATTCGTACTTTTTCGATTAGACTTCTCAATCAAAAGCAGGTTTGAAACCAATAATATTGTGTTTAATGTTAGAAAAACGTCCTGATAACTCTAGAAAATGCAAAATGGGAGCAACAAGTGCGACACAAAGGACTTGAAAAGATATATAAAATTTAGTTTAATTTTGCAATTCAAGCTGTAACACGAAGTGATTTACACTGGATACATAAAATGTAAGGTCAAAATTTTATATTTAAGGATGAAACGTTTTGTTTAAAGTCAGGATTAATGTCAACAGTTTTTTTTAGTTAAAATTTCGTGAAAGTAGAAAAAAGATTTATTTCCAATAAATGCAGGGTATCAGCAAGTCATCGAAATTTTAAACTTAAAGTCAAGATTGATTGTTCAAACCCGAAATTGCTTGTTTAAAGTCGAAATTTTTTTTAAATCGTTATTTCAAGTACATAGTTGACAAAAAGAGCAGGATGAGTGCAAGCTAAACAGCATAATGGCACACAACTTACTCTGACGGTATCTAAGACAGACAGCATAGTGTGGTCTGTATGGTTATTCTTATAGACATTTAAAGCGTTGACGCGGAATCCTTTTTAGCGCATTTCCACAATAAAAAAAAATGCGCTATTGTGGCCACTTTGTCCGTCCGTCCGTCCGTCCGCTCGTTTTGCGACGCTACTAGTTCTTTATTTTAAGAGCTATTGTTCTACTTTTTTCGCTATTTGGTTCGTTATGGTGTCGAGTCTTGTACCAAGGAAGGAATTTTTTCTGTACCGCTTACAAAAAAAAGTTATTGTAAAAAAAACAAAAAACCGTTTTTTACATGTTCCATAATTTTACACTTTTGCCGTTTATTAACGATCCTAGGGATCGTTTATAATTTTGCATTGCCTGTTGGTCTGTCCGTCTGTTCCTTTGTCTGTCTGTCCATCTATCTGTCCGTGTGAACGATAATTTTGTTTAGTAATGTCCGATCGCTTTTAGATTTCCGTTAGTTATGAACTGAATTGCATGAAATTCAATATGGGCATAGCTTTAGCCATATAATACCCAATGCCAAAAGTTGAGTCGAATCGATTCAAAATTCACAGTGCCCTTTTCGCATCTCGACCATTTATAAACCGAATTGCAAACTTTTTTAATTATAAAAGTATTTAAATGAAATTTGATACATAGCCACTTGGAATAAAAGCAAATTTAACGCCAATTTCAAAATTTGGTTGTGCGCATGCGCATTGCCAACTTTTTTTAGTTATGGAAGCATTTAGATGAAATTTTATACATAGGCACTAGGAACAAAGGAAAATCTAACGTTAGCTTCAAAATTTGGATTTGCGCATGCGCAGTTCCAAATTTCTTATTTAAAAAACCATTGAAATGAAACTCTTCTTATAAACTGAAATTAAAGTAGCACGTCAAAATTGGATTGCACATGTGCAACACTATCTTTCATATTTGTAGCCGGATTTTTACAATTTTAACAAAAGTTGCATCTTACAAATAGGAAATGAATGCAAGTGGAAATGCGCTTTATGTAAATCGTTTACGATTACTTTTTAACTTGTTTCACTCGTGGCCCTTCTCTTATG